GCATGTTCGATTAAAAATGACTGCTGACTCAGCATTGACGAGGTTTTTATGCATTGTTCTATGCATGACGCTGATTTTGTAGCGTCGAGGACACTCACTGTCAATAAATGCGACACATGACAAGACACTTTGACAGCAAACCAAGGCAACACAACCAACCAACCGTCAAACTGTAGCATCAAAATCAAATGACACCTGTCCATGCATAAGACGAAAAAGCTCTACGGGAAATCATCTCTCGACATGTAAAGGGTAAGAACGACCAAAAAATAGACATTGTCATTAAGCGTCGCAAAAAGAAAAGCTCTAATCATCTTATAAGGAAACAGTCAAGACAAAACCGACAAACTAAAATGCACCAATGTAATGTATCAAGTCAAATGCAACATCGAAGGCTGCAAACTTCGTCCTATACACTACATTGGTGTGACCATAACGACACTCTCACGACGCCTGACAATGCACTTACGTGACGGGGCACCTCCGGACCACATGCGACAGGAACACGACAGGACATTGACGTAAATGACAGACACCTCTGACATTTTACGGACGTGCAATGACAGAAGGCGCCTTCAAAGTTGGGAAAGTATAGCCATTAACGAACTCTCTCCAGCCCTAAACAAATTCCTGTCCAACCCTTGGCCTATCGGAAGCCGGGCGGTGAGCACTATTGATGTGATCGTTGCAACATGTTGGCGTCTTTGTGGTGCTCCCATCATGAATGCATTCTATATGCATCAAAGTAAAGGAAGGATTTTATCTGTCTCCAATAAGCCATGTTTTATTTGTTTTCCCCTTACCAAAAGATGTTTTCCAATAGAAGCGCACAATTTTTATCCTCCAAAAACTCGGAAACGTATTTGTTGTGCCATTCAGTCTTCTCCGACAATGAGAAAATATCTCGAAACTTAAGAATGTGAAGAGCGATCAATATATAAGCTGTGGCGGATCCAGGCTTTCGTCAAGGGAGGTTCACACAACATTAAAGGGCCCCTGTAGTTTGGGCCCCCCCCCTAAAAAATATCGCTGCATTTTGGTTATTGGCCAAATTGGTTATATATATATATATATATATAATATATATATATATATATATATATATATATATATATATATATAACCAATTATATATATATGTGTGTGTGTGTGTGTGTGTGTGTGTGTGTGGTGTGTGTGTGTGTGTGTGTGTGTGTGTGTGTGTGTGTGTGTGTGTGTGTGTGTGTGTGTGTGTGTGTGTGTGTGTGTGTGTGTGTGCGTGTATGTGCATTTGCTTGTTTATTTATTTCATGAATATGCATATCCATGTTACTGTGCACGGCCCTTTTAAGCATAGGCGTGCTACGCATGCACACACATAGAGCTCACTCATTTTGTTCGGATCATTTTAAATGCTGAGGCTAAGTGCTTCGGAACACCAAGCAAAATGTATTCAGTTGGCTGCCAAAAATCATCCAAACCAAGCATGGACTTGGTTCCTAGCCCATGTATTCACGGCAAGCCGACTGGCTGATGTAATCAGCAGATGGCTGACGACTAACGCAGAATTGTTCCTTCGCTATAAATGCATGCAACATATCCAAGCATTCAAAATATGCTAAGAAAAAAACGCTTTAGTACGATAAGTGTCACACTCTCAACAGCCAATGGATATGACACACAAGGCGTCGGCGGCATGTAGAATTACGTTTGGCAATAGCGCGGAAAAATTCATCGGCGCATATTCGGCTGCTGCTCTAAGGCGAAGACACCAAGGCCAATAGGGACGAAACCTGGGCGATCATGGGTGCCGCAGGAGGCCCACAAAGTGGATCCGTCAACAAGAACAGGGTCCCCAGAATAAGCAAAAAGAACCCAAAACTAACGCGGTGGGTCCCCTAAACGACCAGTAGTGCCCGGCAGGCTGACATATAAGGCCGTGGCCATAGCACAGGACCCTCCGAGCAAAGGGGAATTATCCAAGACCATGAATTAATACCCATGTGTCATAAGGAGCGCGCAGGCAGGTTAACAACACGAGCCTCGAGACGAGTGAAGAGTCCTCCGCAAATGTGACCAAATGGAGGGAGCCTTCGACCAAAGTAGAGGGCCCCTGAGCATCGATTGTTTCCGTGCCGCACCTTTAAAATGCCCTAGCAACGGCATAGGCCCTCCAAGCAAGTGGAAAGAACCCGAGACTTATATGAAGGGCCCCTGAGCAACTGAGTGCACCCTGGCATATGGGACCCCGGAAAAGTGTGAAGGGCCTTTCGGGCAAATGGGAAGAATCCATGGAGGAAGGCCTGATCGATGAACAGTGCTCAGGAATGGAGGCACATAGCGTCCCAACAGCACATTGAGTCCTACGAGAAAATGCAAAGAGATTGAGAACAACGTGGAAAGCTCCTTAGCGATCAGATTGGCAGGGCAAGTGGACACATAAGGTCAGGCAACCAACAGCGTAACGCCTCTAGACACCGTAATAAGCTCCAAAACCTCCCTCAAGCAACACTTTCTCCATCGGTGAAGAATGGACTTCGTTTACTGATGAACTCTTTGCTTTTGCTAACAATGGTTCTTAGTCGTCTGTAGGCCCAAGGCATTCAATTTTGTTGTGTGTGTGTGTGTGTGTTTTTCGTAGGACAACTGCGTCCGTACAGCCGGTTATTGGTCCCTTTGGAGCCTTTAGGTACCCTCAGCATGGTCCATGGGGATGGTCCGGTGCCTCCTCCCCCCCCCCCCCCCCACCTTCTGCATCCGCCGTCGGCGCGAGCAGCCGAATAGATGGGGCCCGCCAAGAACATAGGGCCATCCATTCAATTAAGAAATACTCACGACGCAAGGTGTATGGCTCCGAACGATCGAGCGCGCCCGAGCAGGTTAACATATAGGGCCCCCGTCAAGAGCGTGGGGCTTTCCTTCCATTCAAATAGGAAGTACTCAAGGCCCAATGTAGAGGGCCTCCGAATGATCGAGTGTGCCCGAGCAGGTTAACAGATAAGGTTCCCAAAAAGAGCGTAGGGCCCTCCATTCGAACAGGGAGTACTCAAAACCCAATGCAGAGGACCCAAAATGATCTATGGCCCCAGAATGGTGATATGTGCCTGAAGAAGAAGAAGGAGCCTGACAAAGGCGTAAGACTCTCCATTTAAATAAGAAGTATCTAGAACTCAGTGCGGAGGGCCCCGAAAGTTGAAGTATACCCGAGTAGATTATTGCTGGTCCAGACAGGAGTGTATGGCCCTAAATTCAAATACTAAGGCCTAATACATAGGGCCCCCGAACAATCCAGTGGGGCCGAAGCGGTGAAGAGATGGGGTCCCGACAAATGCGAAGGGCCCTCCATTGAGATGGGAAATACCCACGACACACTGGAGGGCCCCGGATATTCAAGTGGGCCCGAGCAGGTTAACAGGTGGGGCCCCGGCAAGAGCGTAGGGCCTTCCGTTCAAACATGAAATACTCACGACACGATGGAGAGGTCCCCGAATAATCAAGTGCCCCAGAGCAGGTTGACAGATATGGCCCCCGAAAAGAACGGAGGGCCCTCCATTCAAAAAGCACGCATCCAAAACCAGATGTAGAGGTCCCCCACAATTGAATGGGCCCAAAGATCATGAAGATCATGATGATGATCATATTGCAGGTGTGTCGGTAGGTTACCGAGACCTACGTAAAAGGCCCCTGAGCAACTGAGAATATCCCGGCAGGTTAAGATATAAGACCCCGGCAATAGCTCACAGAGCCTTTCAGGCGAATGGAAAGAATCCGTGGAACAGCCCGTGATTGACAAGAGTGCCAAGAGTGCCAAGATTGACAAGAGCGGTACGCTAACAGGAAGGGCCCAGCAACAGCGCACGGCAACAGCAAATGCAAAGAAATAAAGAGCAACGTGGAATGCTCCTTTACGATCGAATTAATCCTGCAAGTGGACGCATAGATCCCCCGGAAGTATCATGGGGCCCCTAGACAGTGAAATGAGGCCTAAAATTTCCATTTCACAACTTTTCCAATCATCGAATGTTTTTTTGTGCCTTCTCACAGGCCCTCCACTTTCGCTGACAAATGTTCTTGGTCATCTGGAAGTCCAGAGACACCCAGTTTTGTTGTGTTTTGCGTTAAAAAACTGTGTCTGCCCGGCCGGCTATGGGGCCTTTCGGAGCCAATACGTCCCTTCAAGGCCCAAGGTGGTGCCATGGCCACGTGGCCCCCTCTGCAACCGCCCCTGTATATGAGTGATTTTGTGTGAACCATCTTAAATCTAAACGATAATGCTAAATTAAAAGCCCGGAAACCAGAACGATACATAAAAAGCTCGTCAGTGCTGAGCCATCAGGCATTTGCAATCGAACATGCATATATATATATATATATATATATATATATATATATATATATATATATATATATATATATATATAATAACAACTGGGCCATATCCGACGACTCTGTGCCCTGCCCCTGTCAAGGCTCTGACTGCGCCCCTGTTTGGATATGATGCATGTAACAATTTGATAAGGGGCACATGCCTTCAGTGTCCTCCTCTTGAAAGCAGCACTACCCAGGTAGGAGGCCCCGCGTGAGGATGCTCCATTTTGTACAAGAGACCCTCTGGAAAGTCCTGTCGCCATAACTAAAAATCTGTGGCGCGGCCCCCGGCCACATAAAGGGATATCTAAGTCTTCAGATGAGACGGATTGTATTGTCCATTTTACTGATTTTTTAATGGCGTCCGCAGATTATCCAAATGTCTTGCAAAGAGGGCTTAAGCGTGTAGAATAGTAAATGTTCCATTATTTGTCTGCGTGGTTTTCATAGAAGCTACCAGCGGCTATTTTGCTAGCGGCTGCTTGTCGGGACTTACATACGTGTTAATTTTGTTTGATACTCGTTATAATTACAAAAAGTTTATGCGTTTTTAAATTAATATCTAAATTCACACGTAATTCACAATTTTTGAGAGATATGATTAAATTCTGCAACATTTTTTTTCGAAGTGAAACTTGAGCATAATATATTCCATATATGGCAGTGCTGTACAGTTACTACGGTAACGGGGTGCCCGTTGTGGCGTGTGCTGTTGCAGCGTCTGGGGTGTCGTGATGGCTGCATTGGATGTGCAGAAAATGGAGGTAATGGTTGCTGATTTATTTTATGTTAGACTTAATCTAGAACCGGTGGTGTGTTCTCAGACTTAACACGGTTGTCCAGTTTTGTGTGGAAGTGGTCCATCTGGAAAAAATCACCGGTGATTTGGGAACATGGTATCGGTGTAGTGCGTTTTGATGGCATTTTAGTCTTGCTGTGTTCCATTGCTGTCATACAGCATTCATTTATCGCTGCTTTAATCCACTACCCCAGATTTTGTGTGCAATTTGTTGTTTTACGTGTGCGCCACAAATGTCTGTCCTGTATGTAAAGTGATGTGAGAGAAAGTTTGGCACATTTGTGATCTGTCAGCTTCTGAACTGTTACTAAATGTGCCTGTACACACAGAATTGGGACCTGGAACTGGGTGTTATTCTGTTCTGCACATTCATTTTAGGGTACAAGTGAGTGACTTTTAGGTGTGTTAGCGACATCAGGGATGTTAATGTTAAAAATTGGCCCAAAGCTGTGATACTGCCTGGCCTTTCCAACTTGCCATTGATTTTGGATAGTTAACCTGTTGAAGTATAATCTATGGAAACTTGAGTGAGCTAAAAGTTATGATCATGTTTGCCATTCCTTGCCACAGCATTTAAATTTCATTGAACTCCTCACACAGGTGTTTGTAAGTAGGCAGATGTATTGAGCCCAGACAGGGCAAGATTGCCGCAGTGAACAGAAAAGTGATCTGGTTAAGAGTCTTAAACACCTCAACATGAAAATTGTGGTGGCATCTGGTTGCCTATTTTATGGGTTTTCACCTCTGCATTTTTTGTGTGATGTAGATTGCCTTGCTTTCTTGATCATCATGTGCTCCACTTCTGCACTAGCCATATGGAATGGTAGAATCTCTGTGACAAATTGTGATGGCATCTGGTTGCCAATTTTATGGGTTTTTACCTCTACATTTTTTTGTGATATAGAGTGCCTTGCTTTCATGATCATCATGTGCCACACTTTGGTACTTGCCATATGGTATGGTAGAGTGCTTGAAAACAATATAAGCTCTCCCATTTGAGGAGGAGATGAAGTTTTAGATATAACCACTCCAAATGTTATGTTTTGCCCAAGCCAGTTTTGTTTTAAAATATGATATTTGTGGACTGAATAATTTGTATTCATTAATTGCAAGTAATTATTATGAACCCATGTGGGCCTGTGTGGCTAGTGTATTAAATAAAGGGATGTTGGCCTCAGCTATGCTTATATTGACCATTCACATCATTGCTTCTCAGCTTCATTGGCTCTGCGGATATGTTTCCAGCATACTATGTTTTGTGCCAGATAGCTGTATATTTCAGTTAATTTAGCTTGTAACTGTCTCATTTTTATCCTGTGGTTACCAAGTATCAGTCAAAAAATCTAGTCGGACTGTCTTGCCAAGTGGTCTTTTCTATTTTCATTCCAGTATTGCAATGCCCGCCTCTTGCTTTCACTTCCTCCCCATCTAGAAGCTTGTTCATTGCATGGATATAGGCAGATCACTCACCAGAATATGTGATCTGTGGGTGCACTGGAGAACCAGAGTTTTATGGCATTGTGTCAAAAGTATCAAGTAGCTTGAAACATTTACAATGTGACAAGGGCTTGAATCACATGCCCTTTGCCCACACTGGGATCAGTTGCCATGTGGAAATGTTTGGGTGGGAATTATGTTTGCCATCATACTTTTGATAAAGGTGCATGCGATATCATGTTTTTGCAGCGTGCAGCACTGATAATAATAAAAATGTGTCGGAATTGTATCATTATAATTTTGCCCTCAAAAGGAAGTAATATTACATTATGCTGGAGGTCACCATAACAAACATAGCATTCAACCTGGGCAGACATGGTGAAAAGTGTATTAATTGTAACTGCTAGGTAGTGGAAATGTTGATAGTAAGGCCAGGAACAAGTTGTTGACTGTTTTTTACCCCAAAAGATAAGTCCTGGGTGGGAAGATGTTGGGGTTGGGGTGTGGTGGGAATGTCCAGTAAGGAACAACATTTGGATTACAGCCAGGATTACAATTAAATTGCCAGCATTGGGTTAGGGTCCGGCATAAAGCCAATATGTTGGCATCATTTGGTATCCAGAAATGTTTCATAAACTTAGTAATACTGCTACAACTAGATGACTGCTGTATGTGAAAGCAAAGTTAAGAGTGAATTGAAATGGATGATGCTCCATTTAGGAAGTGCATCTTGGTGAGTATTCCTCAGGAATGAAGAAGCTAACATAAAAGATAGTGTGCTGTGCATGCCACTGGGGCCACACACTGATGCAACACCACCATGTAGCATTTGTGGCCAGGCAATGACATATGCCATCTTGTTGTGTTGCCTCTGGCCGTCACATGGCCACATTAAACACTGCCTCACACCACCCCACACCTTGCTGCCAGATACCTCATGTCACCTGACACCTCACATCAGACACTTCACACCACCTGGTGCTGCCAGACACCTCACACCACCTAACATCTGACACTATCTGACACCAGATGCCATCAACAGGTAATGTGGTGCCACCAGAACCTGCTGGTACCCAACTCCAACTGATGTATGATGCCACCTGATACATGATACCTGGTGCCACCTGACACCAGACACATGATGCCACCTGACACTCAACACTCCCCAGTACCTAGCATATCCAGTCATGTGACACTTAACACCACCTGACACCACCAGACATCTGACACCACCTGACATCTGACACTAATCCAACACCTGACACCAACCTATGCAGACACCACCCTTCACCTGGCACCTGATACCAGACACCACCTGTCACCTGATACCAGACACCACCTGTCGCCTGATACCACCAACACCTGACACCACCGACACCTGACACCACCGACACCTGACACCACCGATACCTGACACCACCGGACTCCTGACGCCACCAGACATCGTCCACCACCAGACACCTAATGTCACCTCGCGTCGCCGCTCAGATGCCGGAGGAGATGACTGAGGAGAAGCTGGCCTCGCTGCCGCCCGAGCTGCTCATCAAGCACCCGCTGCAGAACTCGTGGACGCTCTGGTACTACGAGAACGACAAGTCGCGCTCCTGGGAGCAGAACCAAGTGGAGATCATCACCGTCACCAGCGTCGAGGACTTCTGGTCGTAAGTGGCGACGGCGCCGCCGAGAGGCGCGGTGGCCGACCGACAGACGCCTCCGACCTCCACGTGGGGCAGAGGGTGAGGGGTGAGGGGCTGTGTGGATGTGAGCACGGGCGTGCCGAATATCGAGGGATTGTGGAGTTTGACCCGGGTCTCTTCGGAGGGGTCTCCATGGTGTCGTCTGCCCCAGCCCAAAACGCGTGTCGACACAAACCAGCGCGCCGGAAGGTCTGTATGGTAATACCATGTGTGGATCCCACCTGCCCCTGTTCCCTGCCATCTCCAGATATCTCCAGACAAACCTTCCCCACAGATCTTCAGAAGCTATCATGAGTGAAAAGGACAACATGGCACGGTTGCTTCGGGACACCCCTCTTCCATGTGATGTTGGAAACCCAAGGCCACTGGTCCGGGTTAGGGCGGGCGCGGTGCTAAATGCTCCGTAGTTTGCAGGCTGTGTTCCCCCACTGCTTCTGATGTGTCTATGCCATCTTGCCAGTCTCTTTGCCACGAATAAATTTGCGAACATTTGGTACAATTTGGTAAGCAAAGTTAGCCCTCCAACAGGGCACATGCAAGGAGACCAGCTTGAAATGAGTCAGTCCTGTTGTTTGAGTTACCGCCCGTCTCCCCGTCTCCCCCTACCGCCTCCTTTCAGAGGCTGTACTTCCCTCTGTTTGAAGTGAAAAAGCTTTTCCCTGCCCCTGAAGCGGCGCCGCCGCCGTCCGCTAATTGTCCCCCGCTGACCGCCCGCCGCCGCTGACCGTCAGCTGACCGCCCGCCGCCGCTGACCGTCAGCTGACCGCCCGCCGCCGCTGACCGTCAGCTGACCGCCCGCCGCCGCTGACCGTCAGCTGACCGCCCCTACCACTGACCGTCAGCTGACCGTTCCCGCCGCTGACCGTCAGCTGACCGTTCCCTGCCGCTGACCGTGTGCCGTCCGCCGTTGCAGCACGTATAATTACATCGAGACGGCGTCCAACCTGAAGCACGGCACCGACTACTCGCTGTTCAAGCAGGGCATCAAGCCGATGTGGGAGGACCAGCGGAACAGGAGCGGCGGCCGCTGGCTCATCTCGCTCGACCGCGGCGACAAGCAGCGCCGGGAGAGGCTCGACGTCTACTGGCTCGATGTGGTGAGAGCGTGGCACGTGTTGCGGTAGACGGCGGTTGTCACGGTAGAACGCGGGTAGTTGGCCGGTGGACGCTAGAAGAGACTCGATGTTTATTGGCTGAGCCTGGCCAGTGACCGGTAAGATGGGGGGGGGGGGGGGGGGGGGGGGGGTGCGGCAGACGCCGGGAGAGGCCCGGTGTTTATTGGCTGAACCTAGCCAGTGACCGATAAGATTGGGGGCGGGGGGGGGGGAGGGCGAGGGTTACGGTGGACGCCGGGAGAGGTCCGGTATTTGTTGGCTGAAGTTGGCCAGTGCCCGGTGCGTGTTTCTTAGAGGGGGGGGGGGGGGGGATTACAGTGGACACCGGAAGAGGCCCGGTGCTTGTTGGCACAACTTGGCCAGCGGTGTGGAAGCTGGTTTGTTTTTCTGACCGGCGCCGGTTTGGATGCGGAAGGAGTGAGAGGCCCGCAAGAGCGGGCGAGGCTCGCTGGGGCTGGCTTACCTTCCGAGCATTGGCCTGGCGCCAGCTGTTGGATACATCCTCTGCATGCGGGCGTTTCTTGGTGCCGGTGTGTCTCCGACGCCAGCTCAGGTGGCGGTCTGATGCGGCCCGCGTGGTGCTGGCTGGCGTTTACCTCTACCGTGGCCCGGGAAGGCTATGACGATGGAGGAACGAACGAAGCTATTGACATGTAGACAGCCAGGGTGGCTTTGTGGGGGCTGCCTCGGGCTTTTCTGTGGTCAGGCTGCTGCAGTAGGTGTGTGTCTGTTGGTCAGCGTTGTCAGTGTTAGTGTCACTAATCGTGTCATTACCATGTACCGTTAGTAATGGCATGAGTACGTGATTGACAACCGAGATGTCAAGCACGGCATGCTCTACACCGGATAGTTCAAACGGTAGCGTAAAGGGTAACGGACGTGAGATATCAGCTTGGTTTGAGTTCACCTCCGCAGAGAAGTCAACTCCTGACTTGCGGTACAGTAGCTGGTGGGTACCGATGTCGTCACCCGGGTGAGGGCATTCCGAGAGGGAAGGCCGACAGCTTATCCCTTTAAACTTGGCACGGTGTGGCGGCCGCTCGCGGGCAGGCAAGGGTTACATGGTGGAAACTGTGGGTTCGGCCGTCGACCGCTAACACCGATATAGCCTGCATGGTGAAGAGTCACCCATGCGCGACGATAAGAGTTGTGGCGTTGAACTGATATTGTTCCGCGTGACTACCGCATTGGCCTCCTCCTCCCGCACACCGGCTACGGCTGTGCTGTCGCCATAGTCTCTGTTGTTACCGGGGACCATGTGCTAGATGTGATTGCGCTTTTTCACGCTGCGCTAGTACACTGCAGCGATATCCTGACAAAATTGACGTGGTATGAGCACAAAGGCCTTCAGTCTCCTGTTGTCCGTTGTAATGTCATGCGCTGAGAATGATCTGCCTGCATTATACCATGTGGCTCTGGCTCAGTGACGTTTTCAAACAATGACTGGTATGCAACGTGAAAAAGTCCCCAGTTAATTACCATGAGCTCATGAGCAAGAGCCCGCCACTGCTTCGCTCGGATGTTCTGTGCATCCAGTGAGCTTCCCCCTCCCCCGTGGTAGCCCGTGCTGCACGTGCGTAAGTGGGCTGTGTGCCGATCGGCCAGTTGTGCGGGCCGGTCATGTATCGGTCCGTTGCTCCCCAGATGCTGCTGATGATCGGCGAGGGCTTCGGCGACGCCGGCGAGACGGTGTGCGGCGCCGTCGTCAACATCCGCAACAAGGGCGACAAGATCGCCATCTGGACCGGCGACGCCAAGAAGGCGGAGGAGGTCATTCGGATCGGGTCAGTCGAGCGGTGGCCCGGACCCCCCCCCCCCCCCCTCGGGGAGGGAGAGGGGGCAGTGGTGCGCGCCCTGGGAGAGTGAGCTGTCTGGAGTACGTGTTTATGAGTAGTTCAATGTAGCGCTCTGGCGTTGACGGCGAATGCGAGACCATGGGGGCTCCGAAGTCAGAACGCCGTCTGGGTTGCAAGGGTATTCCGTTTGGCTGGTGGGATCTAGGTGTGCGGCGGCCACGTGGTCACCAGCGACCGAATGGCCACCGTTGTGGCTGGAGTGGCGAAATACTGGTGGGAATTGAGGCTTGTTTAGTGTGTGGCTTGTGGGACGTAGCTGAGCCAGCGGCCCTGCAACTGGCAATGGCCCGGGTATGCTGGTGAACAGCTGGATGTCTGATCAATGGACATTTCGCGCATGTCAAGACGGAATTGTCTGCGAAAAGCAAAGCTCCTTTGTCGGCGTGTGCTGCTATGCCAGTGCGGAAAACATCCTCTTTCAGCCCCTGACAGGCCTGTAGAGGTCCTCTGCCGTTTGCCCTGTTTCCTGCGTACTCGCGTATGCACTCTCCACACTCGCTCATCTGGCGCTCCCGCCTCCCCGCAGCCAACGGCTGAAGGAGGTGCTCAACATCAACCCTAAGATCACCATCGGCTACCAGGCGCACTCGGACACGATGGTCAAGTCGGGCTCGATCGCCAAGAACCGCTACACGGTGTAGCCGGGCGGCCGCGGCCCGCCCCGCGCCCGCCGACCGCCGGCCGCCCGCCGTCGCCGCCGCCTGACAGTGACGGACATTAATCGGGGTGGGAGCGCCGCGCCGCCGTCGGCGAAGCGAGCGAGTGAGCGCGCGCGCCGCGAGAGGGGCGGCGACGGGCGCCGGCGGCCGGCCGCCGCACCGCCGCCTGTGATATGTGCCGCCGCCAGGGCGCGCCGCCCGCCCCAGCGACCGGCCGTCGGGTCGGGATCGGGCGCGGGGCTCGGGGGCCGTGTGCGCGTGCGTGCCCTGGCGGCGCGCGCGCGCGCGCGAGCGGACAGCTTGTTCGGCGTTTGTGTGTGTGGTGTGGTGTCGCCGCGCGCGCGCGCTGTCACTCTTCGTCTCTCTGTCTCCGTGAAGCCGCTGGGCGCACCGCCGGGCTGTTCGCGTGTACATACATACTGCTGGTCCGGGCCGTTCTGGCCACTCACCTCTCACGTGTATCCCTGACCGGCGCGCCGGCGGCGGCGGTGGCGCGGGTGCCCGCAGCGGCGCCGCCGCCGCCGCCGGCGCGCAAACACCGTTTCTCCGTTGTCTGTCGGACCCGTTGGCAATAGAGCCGGCAGCTGTCGCTCGATGTGGAGTGGAAGGCCTAGGTGTTGTGGAGTGGAAGGCAGGGCCGTGGCGAGCTAGTGGGGCGGAGGACTGTGGGCGGGCGGCGGCGCGCTGCACGAGGACGGCCCGCGCCGGTGCCAGCAGCTGCGGCCAAGTTGAGGCCCGAGCTGGGCTGCGCGCTGGCTGTGTGCCGCCGTGGTCGGTTCGGGCCAGCAATCTGCGACACTGCCCTCCGCGCTGTGCCAGCTGCCAGCTGCCGTGCGCGCCGAGTCGCTTTGGTAAAGCGAGCGCGCGGGAGCGGAGACGCTGTCGGCGTGGGACGCGGTGTCTGGAGCTGGTGCCATGCCGCCCCGGGGGCTGGGCCTGACACGCGCGAGGCACTCACTCGTGACCGGGCTGAAGCTGACGGCCCTGTCAGGCGACGCGCTAATTAAGGCTTATTCAGTTGACGGCGCGTGTAGGCTAGCCTCTGTGTAGCGTATGGAGCTTTCGTCATCTGAATATTTATTGGTTGTCTGGATATGTTTCTTGTCGATAAATAACCTAACAATCGTTGCTGTTAGGCCGATTTCAGCCAGGGTTGTCTAATTCCTTGGGAAGGTGGTCGCAGCGACGCCGGGCGCCTTTCGCGGGAGGTGGGCTTCAAGCGCGAGATGCAGGAGCTCCAGCGGCGCCGGTACGATCGGTGGGGTGGGTCGGAAGAGAACAGCGCCGCTGGCTGAGGCCGGTCCGGCGCGAGCCGGTCATGGCTGGCAGTGGCGGAGTAACCGTCCGGTGCCGGGTCGGGGGACGGTGCACCTGTCGCCGAGTGGGGTGTCTTGTGTACTGCCTCTGCCGCGCGTCATCTCACGGCTGCCGTGTTCATGGGCTTGCCGTGCATCCACGCAGGTAGCATATTTATATATCGTTCTAGATCATGTGAGCGGATCAATATATTGTTCGGATCCAGCAACGAAAGTAAATACGCAAAAGGCCAAGTGGTCGGCATGGTCCTTCGCAGGACGCGAGAAGGCAATTCGCGCACAGGGCTGTCCACCAGGAATATTTAAATGGGCGTCTGGTTGTGAGGTGGCTTCCATCGCGAGACCGCGCGGGTCGGAGGGCAGCCCGTTGTTGTCATGCTGCTGGACGGCACGGCGGAGACAGGGCTGCTGCGGGACGGCCCGAGCGTGCCGTCTCGTCGCTTCGGGGGGGGGGGGGGGGGGGGGCGTGTGGCCAGCGCCGCCGCAGCTTGAAGACGACCGCTGCGGGTCGACCTGAGCGTGCCGTCTCGTCCCTCGGGCGGTATGTGGCCGACGCCGCCGCAGCTCCCACCGCCGGAATCTTGTGCGTACAGGTCACCGTCAGCATAGCGCTGAACAGTCGCTGGAAGGGAGACGGTGTCCCGCGCACGAGACCTGTCTCCAGCTCACAGGTCCCCTGCGCACGCGACCTGTCCCCAGTTCACATGTATATTCACAGCTCACAGTACCTCGGTCATGTGATCCGCACTGCTCCTCTCAGCGACCTCTGCCCGCGAAACAAACACGACACGAGCTCCGTCCGTGTATTGCAGCAGCACCGCCCTAGATCACAGGGGTTAGGTCACCGTCCTCGCCTCTGCTTCTGGGATGCCGCAGGGATGGTGAGAAGAACTTACGAGGCCCCAGCGCCGGCACGAATCGAGCCAGCACGTGCTGGAGAGAAGCAGGCGCTGGGCGGCGCGCCAGTGAACCGCGCCCGGATGGAAGCGGGTAACAGCGCGAGGGTCAAGACGGGCGCGGCCCGGTTCACCGGAGCCAGAAACACAACATCGTTCGGCGAGGTATAGAGCAAATGAGGGAGTAACCAACGCGACTGCTACAGCTAAAAACAGTCCCATGTGCGGGCAAACGTGCACAAGATGCGTTGGCGAATTTGTGGTTATAAAAACGACAATCACGGGAGCGTCACAATTGCCTCAGAATCACGTGAGGTGCGTTTGCATGCACAAACGGCGTGCGTAAAACATTCCTGTTGTGGGTGCGTAACACATTCCTGTTGTGGGCACGTAAAACATTCCTGCACACGACTCCAAGAACATGTAAATTCATAGAGCAACTCGAATGTGTGTGACCTAGAAAGCCAAAATTTAACTCAGATAAATGAGAACATTTTAAACATGGAAGAAATATGGTTCGGTTTTTAACAATGCCCGTTGGCCATTTGCGAAAGATGAGTGTTTCGGAACAGCTTCGGGTTCGGTGCACGCCGCAACGACTTCGGCGCTACAAATCTGCACCATCGACATCATACGTCGCCGCTGGCAGCGAAGATCGAAAGCCTTTCGGCAGCGGTCGCAGCCACAGCATGACAGTGTCAGCGACCGAAGGGCATATAAGTAACACGCAACACCTTGCTGGAATTGTTTGCTGTACCGCTTCGTTATCCGTTAAGCCTTTTGCTCAGCCTTAACGGACAACGAAGCCTGTAGACGTCAGGTCAGCGGTCGGCAGCCTTCAGACCGGCGGCTGTAGGACCCACGGTCACGGGGCGCTAGATCCTCAGCCGGGGGCCGCTAGATCCCCAGTCAGGGACCGCTAGATCCTCAGTCAGTGGCCTCTAGACCCTTGTCGGGGACCGTTGTACCCCGGTCATAGGCTGTTACATGCCTCGGTCAGGGGCCGTTATACCCCCGGTGAGGGATCGTTAGATCCCTGACCGGGGGCCGCGTTAGAACCCGGCCAGGGGCCGTCAGACCGGCGCGGCGCCCGAGGCCAGCGATGACGTCATCGACGGCGAGCCAATCGGCGACGTGCTCACGGCGGCCGGCGAGCTGAAGCAGTTCATGCCGATGCTGGCGCCCGGGGACTGCGGGCGGGGCGGTGCGGGTCAGACACGGAAGTCAGCAGGGGCTTTGCAGGTCAGACAGATGTCGGCGGGCGGCATAGACCAAACAGACATGAGATACAGCCATCAGCGGTCGACGATGGAGGTTGCAGGTCATCAAAAGACATAAGAGTCGTTACAGGCCATAGGTAGGTCATAAAGGGTCGGCAGGGGCATAGCAGATGAGACGCAGGCTAGCACAAGTGTCATAGGTCAGGCACGGGTCAGAAGAGAGTAGCGTAGGTCAGCCACCGGTTACCGAGGTCAGCAGGGGGGGGCATAGGTCAGTCACAAGTGAGCAGGTCAGCAGAGGGTAGCGTGGTGGCGTCATGGGTGGACAAGACGGTATGACTGGTGGGACAGCAGCCAGTCCACACAAACCTTCCGCTCCTCCACAAAATCTGGATCAACACCACGCTTCATGACAGCGCTGCGACACACAGCCCTCAGACAGAGCCCCTCTCCGGCTCCTCCCCTCGCCGTCCCCCACGCTCACCTGGCTCGGCACGCTCAGCGGGTTAACGCCCGTGTCAAAGCCGGGCCAGAACGCCTTGTGTCCGAGCGGAGAGGGCACCTTGGCCGCCCAATTGCAGCCGGGGTAGCCCGAGTAGAGCGCTTCCTGGCCGAACGGCTGCATGAAACCCTGCAGCTGGCCGCCGAAGCCGCTCTTGATGTCGGCGCCGTTCATCATCACCATGGCGTTGCGCTCGCGCTTCCGCCACTTGGCGCGCCGGTTCTTGAACCAGATCTGCCGGGGGAGGGGAGGCTGTGAGCCAAGGCTGAATCGGGGTTGTCGGCGAGGGCAGGCTGTTAACCGGGGCTGAGCCGGCATTGTGGGAGGAAGGAGAGGCTGTAAACCGGAGCGGAATGGGAGCCCCAGGGAGGGAAGGCTGTTAACCGGGGCTGAGCTGGGATTGTGGGAGGAAGGGGAGGGGAGGGGCTCTCAACCGGGGAGGAACCGGGATTGTGGGAGAGAGGGGAGGCTGTTAAGCGGAGCGAAACTTGAAGCGAGTCAACCCGCGACCAGATAATAGAGTATCCTGCCGATATTCGACATGTTGGCGTGCTTGGTCGAGATCTCCTGCAGCGAGGATGCTGAGGCAGACCGGGTGATGGGGACGAGATGCCGACCCACGGCGAAGCCTGTCCAAAGCATGTCTCGATAGCTCAGCTGGTTAGGGCGGCTGGCTTCCGATCTGCACATCCGTAGCGAGGTAGGTTTGATCGCTTTAAGCGCCGCTATTTGCCCCTGACTGGGATGGTCTGCGGACGGTGGCACCGGCCGCGCTGAAGGTCTGGTGACGTCAGAGGGCAGGACCAAGCCTGTAGACTATTGTGGCATTCGTCCGATCGAAAGGCTCGAACAAAATACGGTAAAGAACGGAGCAACAGACAGCGGAGGAGCTCAATCAGCGCCGAGCCGCCAATGGGGACGGGGATGAAGAGATCCGTACCAGACTTGGTGAGAGCGTGGGCAGCTGTATCGCAGTCTGAACCAGGTCTGGCACTGGCGGGAGTTCGTTGCCGACACTATGGAGGATATGAACCAGCTCCCTTGGAAGACGTTTACTAATGAGCCGGCTAGAACGACCAGCCGTGTGCAATGACGGTGATAAGACTCAAGGCCGTGGTCACACACCACATTTGCATTGTCATCCCTTTTAGGCTCAATTTCGGCCCTTGCCAAGTGCTACTACCTATAAAGCCACGCTCCTCCGTGGTTAAGCAGTGTCACCTATACTAGGTTGTGCTTACTCATCTGGTGCTGCCACCTATACCCTGCCAAGCGGGCATTGTTCCATCTCTATTTCCACCGAGTCGTCAACTTTCAGTAAGACCAGGCGAAATCTGCTCGAAATCCACGACGCGGAGCGCCCTCAGCTGCGCATGACACACTGAGCTCTCACGAAAGACGCCAAAGACTGTCATCTGTTTGTGTCGGGTCAGCTGACTAGTGACACCGCGGTCACGGGCGGAACGTGAGCCGGCTGGGCGGTTGGGAATCAGGTGACGCCAGAGGTGCCAATTTTTGTAAATTATTGGGGGGCCGAACCAAAGGCCCGACAACCTACACAACAATCAACAACCAACACCAACAACCAACACCAACAACCAACACCAACAACCAACACCAACAACCAACAACCAGCCCCGCTCCCCGCGTCTTTCTCGCCGGATTTAGCCCACTTTATTTTGATTAAACGCATCATATATTTCTAATCCTTGTATAATTCATACAAGTTTTAATTTAAACAGCATAGAAGTAATGCAGGGTTGGATCCAGGGAGCAGGCACTGGACGCACGCGTCTCTTCTGATCAGCACGTGAAGGCGCCCCTTTAGGAGCTACCTTAGGGCGCCGATGGCGCTCTTCTATGGGGATCATGGGAGGCGGCACGCATTTTGGTTGTGGGGACGAGTTTAGCCATGCAGGACGTAAGTCATACCCATATTCCAGAGCTTTTCACTTTAAACTCACAAACCATTACAAGTCGTACGGCGTTAGGTATGTGAAGTTCATTGCATAGTTTATCCGCTCAGCTGTTACGGTTTATGTCTTATGGTGCGAGCAGCCATGACTTTTTGCTATAAGAGTGGTACGAGACGCCATCACGCAAAAAGATCAGAGAAAATAGTCTTTGTATTACAATCATCTTTTAACCGCGCATTTTGTAGTGTCCCGGCCCAACTTAACATTGGGGGGGGGGGGGGGCCCAACTCAACATTGGGGGAGCCAGGGCCCTCACAAAAGAATACAAATTGACACCCGTGCGTGACGCCGTGCCTCCAGGCTGGTGCAGCGGCTCCTAGCAGCGGCAGGTACGCACGTACATGACACCGTGTGTTGATCGTCGTTCGAGGCGTGAAGTGAAGAGTACCCCAAAACTCTATCGAAGTTATGTACCCAGCTCCCCTCAAGCTCGAAAGCCCCAGCGACTCCAGCCGCGTGCACGCATCAATTTTGATTTGTTTACAAAATATATCACAATCCAGAGCTGCGTGCAAAGTGCAAGATTTTCACGCATCTCCATTTTTGGGGATCATACCACGCAGACACCACGCCAGCAGATCAAAGTCTGGTGCAAACAACAGCAAAGCCTGGTAGAGAGCTTTACTCTACGTGTTTCTTTTTCCTGAAGAAGCTTGACCACTTAATTGCAACACTCCGGAATGTGGGGGTGAAAATTCAAGAAGTGCCTTCTAAATGTAATATAAACGCTCAATGCCGTTTCAGAATTCATTTTAATAGATTTGCAAGTGAAATGAGTTGATTGCGAAAGTTGACCGCGGAACTATAACTCGCAACTTATTTCATTACTTTTTTGCTTGGTTTGCTTGGTTTCATACACACGTGATGTAACTTAATTTTTCTTTCCTTTTTGGTGTATCTAAAGATACCCTGTATGGCCTAAAATGCTAGCCCATTTCTTTGCAACATGCTACAACTGTAAACTAGCACATGTTTTTTACATGTATTGGATTAATTCTCCAGCCACCCAAACATGTTTAATACGCACCCAAGAGTGAACAATTCATAGCCACTGAAGGAGACAATTTGGAGCAAGGAAGTTTTTTCTACCGCTATTTTGGCTTTGTTATACCCCTAGTTGGCAGTCTTTTTTGGTCCGTGGCGTGGCTCAATACTGATAAATATAAGCCATTCAAGCTTCATTGTAACCTCACCACGTTACACTATCCTGCCGTGCGTAGCTTGGGGGCAGATCTGGCGCAGCTACTGCGAATTGGTAGCGACATTCTGCCCCTCGAAACTTTTCATTGCAGATCTCCTCTGACATATTTAACATTTTAATCTTGTAGGTTGTTGGGCATGATTGATATTGATATTTTGTGGTGGGTTCGAAGACATTGACTGTCAGCAAACCATGCGAAAATGCTGACTTTTTGTTTGAGGGAGCGGAAAAAAGCCTGCCCTCAAAAAGCCAAAAGGTTTCTGCCGGGGGCACGTAATCGCTAACCTTACCTGCTTTCAGAACATGACTTGTAATAAAATTTGGTAACTTTCTGTTATAATCCATAACAGTGTGTTCATAAGACAAGTTGTGATGCCACAAGACATGTAATTTTGTCATACTCTTGATCATTTCCCCAAAGTTGTTGAAGTGGTCCCTCATGTCTGCTTTTACAAGCGGTTGTCCATATTTGACATGGTTTGTTGACTGGCAAGCTTTGGTAGTGAAATCCGACAAACCTAAGTGGATGTGTTTGCTGCAACTGACAAGGCAAGCAGCAACACTGATTTACTGGTCATCTATGGTCTGTGTTACATACACATACACACACACACACACACACACACACACACACACACACACACACACACACACACACACACACACACACACACACACACACACACACACACACACACACACACACACACACACACACACACCATGTATAACCTATGTTTGGAGGAGAGAGATTGTTTTGTGGAGCACTCTGACTATTACCCTTGACAAAGACTGGTTGTGACAATCAAAATAAGTTATTCAAAGTGGTTTAAACAATTAGTGGGTAGTCCTGTCCTCTCAGTTGTTGCCTTCAGAGGTTTTGACTTGTGTGTTGTCAGCTTTGGTGTCAAAAAGCTGACACAGATGAATGTGGCCGAAATGAACACAAATGACACCCATCCGAAGATAAGATTTATCATGATTTATTACAATTGCAGCTGTCAAGCCTGGCTACTTGCATAATAAGCAGCCATAAGAACTTTGCGAGAATCATTGACTCACAAATGCTGCTGTGGTAAAAACAGGTTAAGAAGGATGAGATTGTGCAAATCTCCTTTAGGTTATACTTAGTTAAGTTACTTTCACGGAAATAAGCATAGATATTTTGCAAGAAACAGTGACATATTTGTATTTCCTGCCCCCATCTCAACCGAAGCTAAAGGTATGCCTGGTTTTTTTCGTTTTGGTGACATGTTGATGTACAGGAGTCCAAAACTTTTTTGTTTAAATGCTTTATGCTTGTTAATTTCTTATTTTCGTTTAATTCCTTTGCTCCGTTTAGTATTTAAAAAATAATGTGAAGGGAATTGTAAAATACAGAATCAAAGAATTGGTGTTACATGGTTTTTAGTGCTCATCACACTATTATGAAATTACCATTCTTTAATGTATTCCGTTTCAGTATAATAACCTAAGAATGAAAGGTTGTCATCTTGATCATGTAACATTCATGCCAACTCGAAATATATGTTTTTGTTTGCCAGTGCATCTCATAATTAATTACTGGCTCATAAATTTCAGTTTTTGTGAATTAAATTTTCGGCCCTGTACGTTCCTTTTTCGATGCAATTTTTCACTCCACCCTGTTTCAAAAGTGATTCTAACTCACTGGTTAGCAATTCTCATTGCGTTGCATGTTCGATGCTAATCGCTGTGGACTCTCCCTTATCTGGGTCGCTGGGTCGCCCCAGTGCGTGGCTCACTGCAGACCGTGCCATGGTGCAGCCATTGACGATGGGGGGGGGGGGGGGTTCACTTGCAGGTGCTCTGGGGTCAGAGTATGCCATTCACACCCTCTGTTATTGGTGTTCCTAAGCATGCATTTTGACCGACATAGCAGGGAGGACTGGCATGCGGACGGAAAACATTAAAGGCGGGATGTGCTCGTGTGCATGCACGTGCGGGCGCGTTTACGTGTAGCTGAGCATGCTAATTTCAGGAAACGATTCGCGTGAAACGGCAACGGGACATACAGAAACCGGTTTGGTGGAGAAATGGATGGAAAGCATGCGACCATTCTGTTTGGTCTAAAAACCTAAAGCATACCAGATGCGCCAGTCGAGAGCGTCAAGCTGGTGCGGACATACACACACACACACACACACGCACACACACACAAACGCACACACACACACACACACACACACACACACACACACACACACACACACACACACACACACACACACACACACACACACACACACACACACACACACACATATATATATATATATATATATATATATATATATATATATATATATATATATATATATATATATATATATATATTATCGATCGTTCCACCACCCTTTCTCTTAGGTGCCTTCAGTGAATTGCATGACATATCCAAATGCTTGCAGGGTTTCGTACGACACTGGACATCAATAGGAGATTACAAG